TACTCAAATCCTTAGGGTTGCATGCTCTGAAGACAAATCTGTCCCTCAGTTTTCTCATTTGAAATCAGGAAAGTCCATCTGAAAGGGTTATTTTTGAGGACTGAATGAAAAAAGCTGCACATATAACATTATAAATAATAAATTTAATTTTCATGGAATTGTAATTCACCCAGACTTTGCTTAGAATTACAACACTCAAAGTATGCTTTTCTCTGAACTCTCCATTTTCAAAAGTTCTCTTTCATTATATCTCAATCCGTTTCTACCTGTATCTTCCCTATATAGAGCACTGTTGTATTTTATTTTTATAATGGTTTTTATGTTTTATAAATTTGAATGCTTTTTAATTTTTCAAATTTCAAATTTTTAAAATGATTGTACTTGAAAAAATGCTTTTAAATAAATTACTTTATTACATGTGGACAAATGCAGACAAAAATCTCTGTAATTTAAAACATCAAGCTATTACAGTATATGAAGGAATGTTTACACAAGATCATCACGGTAAGGAAATGGGTTAGATAGAGGAGGTGAAATTTGCTCAGTATTTTGAAAAAATTAACAAAGAATATTCCTTTTTAATCCCAAATCTTCACACCACTGAGAGCCTTTAAGTATGATTTAAATTATCAGTAGATTAATATCAACTTTCCACCAATGAATTATTCATATTTTCTTCTCCAGTAATGACTAATGGAATACGTACAACATGGGGAATATATTTACTTTCTGACAGTCAATTTCACCAGCACACCAAAAGCACATATTCTTAAGCATTTATCACTGGACTACGTTAAAACTGGTATCAGACAAAAGAAATGAAAGGCAAATCACCATCTAAATTCATGAAGTACATAACAATGTGGTTGCAACCTTTTATTACTATAATGTTGCGTGCACTGGAAAGTCAGACAGCTATGTCTTATATTGTATAAACTACACCTAAGTGTGTACTGAATCCACATTAAAACCCCTGAGTACCTATGGTACTGAAGCACATAGTTTTAAAGTTTATAATCTTTGGCGAGGGGGAGACCACTTTTCTAATGATAGATGCATTAAAATATACACAGAATGTGAAAAGATGACATCATATTATCATGTTGTAGTTCTCCTCATACTCTGTAGGATTCCTTTACTGTCAGCAAAAATAACCAGCTGTTTCAAAACATGCTCTTGATTTATAAAAGGATCTTTCATCATTCCAGGGAAGATTGCCCATGAGCTCAACTGACCTTAAGCAGATTACACACAGTTATTTAGTGTGAGGACTGCCATTCAAAAGATTTGGGGGGATGGAGGTGGAAAGAATTTTTTTTAATATTTGGATAGGACTGGGGATTTAGCTCAGTGGTGCCACACCTGCCTTGCCAGCACAAGGTCCTGAGTTCAATACTCCAGTACCCCAAAATATTTTTTAATATATATTTATATATATCTTTATATATACTTTGGATAATTGGCTCTTACTTTTTAAAGAAAATGAATACATTATGCTTTGAAGTTTGAGGAAGTAAATAAACTGCCACTGGTACCTGGCAGGTAGGTACAGTACATTAAAGGATATCTAACATCAGGTCATCTTGCAAAGCAGATCTCTTTCCAAGAATTTATTACACACACACACACATAGGGGGGTGAGCAGATAAAGGGCTAGACAGAAAAGTCTCAGTTCAAATAAAAGTTTTTCCATAAGAAATCCTCACATAAAACAAGATACTTTTAAAAGACACTTATTTATTGCCCTTATCCTTTACTGCTGCTTTATATTTAGATTTTAATTCACATTTCTTAACTTTTTGCCCCTTTCAAGGGTATGACCTGAGAAGACAAAGAATAAGTACTTTTACTTTATTTTAAAATATTTGTTTAAGATAGATATGGTAGCATAAACCTGCAAATGCCAGGCAAGAGAATCATAAGTCTATGCCCTGCCTGAGCAACTAATGACAGGGAGATCATGTCTCACAATCTAATAATAAAATCTTAAAGGGGCTGGAGAGGTAGCTCAGTGTGAAGATTCAATCTTTAGTAGTGGAAAAAAAAAGTGTTTTGTAGAGGTAAACATTTTAACAATCTGAGAATGAGCCTGAGAACACTGACTATTTTTCTTTACTAAAAGAGAAACTGAATACTAATCCAAAAAAGAAAAGAGAAGTCACCAAAAAAGATGTGTAGAAAGCAGTTTGTGCTCCTCAAACTCCCATGTATTTGTGCACCAACCAAGGGTATTTTTAAAATTCAGATTCAGATTCTAAGCACTGTGGGCCTAGAACTGACCCTAAGAGCTTGAGTTACAGCTGCTTAGGATGCTGGTCCAAAAAACCCCATTATACCACTGAAAACAGGCCCCTCATAAGGAAAATAAAAAGCAATCTAGAAATACAGTTTTTGAAAGGTCTTTTTCCCAAGAAAGTCAACATACACCATCACTCTCTTCCAGCAATTTCCTTAGTCTTCCAACTCAACTACTTCTGAACTAATATTTGGCATGTGATATAAAAACAAGTCAATCAATTCTACAGAAAAAAATTAATAACGGGATTTTTCACTTTTTAGACTGGAAATGTGTGGTTGCACAGTATGTGTTGACTATAAAAAGCTTTTGTATAGCAACTGGACCTATTTTTTTAAAGACTACGATACAACAGAAATGAAGGTTAAGCAGTAAATCATTCCAGTATCAGTGAGACCTCTTTATTTTCCACTGAATCAAGGAAATATAATGGTTGACTAGGTTTTCTCAAAGTCAAAGAGCGATTTCAGTAAAAAACACCCTAAGCATACACATTTGCTTAGTGACTTGTGGAAGTGACATTCACCCTTGAAAGAGTCTCTTGTTCATAGAAAAGAGGGTGCGGCAGCCCTGTCAACTCTATGGCTCAACAACGGTGAATTTTTTGAAGATTCATGAATATTGCTAGAACTGTGCATAGAAGTTGAATCTCTGTGCTTTAGAAATGAATTTTTATGTACTCTGAATTCTCAAGGCATAGCATGGAAACGCTAAGCACGACTTACATCTAATGCAAAAGAAGCATGTGAAAAATACTCTGTCAAGGAGAATCTGAGTAGAAGCATCATCAAATCAAAAACTTTGGGACCCTTTACACTGTGAGTCACCTCTGTCAATCCTCATCACATTAGAAATTAAATCAGAGGAATGTCTTAGGTATTTATTTAAAATAATAGTACTAAACATTAATGTAAATAACATATTTTGTGGAAAAATAACTCTATTTCCAAAACGGAAAAATATTTAGAAACAAAGGTAACACTGCTTTATAATTGTGCAAGCCTAAGGTCTAGCTTAATAAAAGACATGGATTCTCATAAGCGCTCCTGCATTCAATGAAGATGTGTATGGGTTTTTTCCATTTTTCCACACAACTGTGTTCTGAAGGGTCAATGTTTTCATATTTAATACATAGACTTAATGATTTTTTTCATTAAAGACTTTTTTGGTGCTAAGGTTTGAACCCAGGGCTTATACATGCTAAGCATGTGCTTTACCACAGAGAAACAACCCCAGCTTGTTAAGGACTTTTTTTGAATGCAAATATGTTTTACATCAACAACACAAATGTCTATACAATGATAATAGCAAATTATGTTTTATAGTACTAAAATTGTTTTGGCTTTGCATACCCTCTGAAAGGTCTGAGAGACCCTCAGTGGTCAAAGAACCACAGTTTGAGAACCACAACTATGTGCAACTGTGTGAACGAATAGATATTTTAAAACTTATAGAACATATTTTCATAATCCATGCCCTGCATGAGCTCTGCATGTAGATGAGTCAAGACTGGAAGATAGAAAATGAAGCAAGACTGATGACCTGGTGTTTGGCTGAATATCTTTTATTGCCCATATCCCCATCTCAGGCTTGAAATATCCAGACTGGCATGAGACATCCCACCCCATTTGTTTTCAGGAGCAGGTAAAGAGCCACAAGGTAGCTAAAGACCATGAGCCTTCTATACCTGTGTTTGAATCCTTGCACCTTTATTTATGTGTGAACTTTGGTTCTAAGCTTCAATTTTCTCATCCCTAATATAAAAATAATATTGGTACCTACTTCATAGGTTTATTGTGAAAATTGAGTGAGATAAGAATTAACAACATGCCCAGCACAGAACAAGCCCCCAATAAATGCCAGACGTTACTGTTGTTTTTTATGAACAATAAGTTAAAAACACTTAGTCCGCTTCCTTGTGGTCCTATCTCATGCTCCTTTGGGCTCACCACTGGGCAACAATGTTGAACTACTAACCTTTCCCCCAGTAAACAAAATCACTTATCTGTACTGTGTGTTTTGGTCTGCTGCATCTATGTTGTTCCTTCTGCCTATATTACACTACCTTCTCTAAAAAGAATTTCCTCTCCAGCTTCTGGTCCACACTAGATGGAAGCCTCTTTTCTCTTCATTGTCACATTGTTATAATTAACTGCTTATACCCTTCTTCAAAGAACCAGGATGAGTAACAGCATGTGTATATAATAGTGTTGCTTGAAAAATGAGTAATTATGTAGTAACCAGGTTGCAAATCGCTGTTACTCTGCCTCACAGGTAAGCCAAAGCCCCCTTCTGTAGTCTCATCCCAAATATATTTGTAAGATGATCAGGTCACCTATCCAGTCATCCTTCAGATCTTCTTCTATATTTCCATCCTCTAAGCCTGGAAGTGAGCACACTTGGGTCTGACTCCAACATTTAGTCCACCAAACTTGTGATTACTTTTATGTCCACTGCCTCTAGTCTCCTGTGCTTGATTGGGTGGGTGGGGCCACTTTGCATCTGGCTCCAGTTCACACCATTCTCCAAGGGTTGATCTCTACTCTCATTCACCCCTACTTTGCTATAAGCAAGATCTTTGGAATGGCCCAAACTTGGATCTGAGCTCTCTCATCTTTTGAACAGCTTTATTTCCAAAGCAGAGTTACAGACCCATGTGTTTCTCAGTCAAAGTTCCTCTTTTCTGGACAATAGGTACTGTGGTTCCAGGTGTTCATGGCCTTTCTTTGGGGCATGTGGTAATTATCTTCTTGATTCCCAGAATCACTGCTAGACTCCCTTCCTGTTGGATGCAGTTGGCAGCCCTTCCTTGCCACCATCTATCAGAATAAAGCAGACATTTGAACCTCCTACACTTACCAGTGGTAGGTCAGTCATCTGCTTAGCCTGATGCATGGTACCAGCTTGAGGCAAATGCACATCAATGTCATCAGCCAAGTATGAAATATAAGGGTATTTGGAGGACACTGATTTCAAACTACTGAACCCATATCAGTTGATTTGAAGACATAAATAGGGCCCAGAGTTTTAATCCAAATGAAAATTAAAATACACTGATACTATTTATCACCCTATCCAATTTATTCCAGTCTGAATGACAGATTCATCAGTTTAATAGTTTGGCTCTCTCCTATTCTTATTGTGCAAATTGGCCTGTTTTCATCTGACAGAGAATCAAGGCACAAACACAGATTAAGTTCCCAGTTTTAGTTTTGCCTTTTAAAATTCATACTCAGAAGTAACTGAAAGAAATGTTAGCTTCTTTAGAATTGCTTAGCTTTTGTTCATCATCATCATTGCTATTATTTTTAAAGCATGTTCAGCATGACTCAATTGGCTCTCTCCTTTCTAAGCATTTCTATGAGAAATAACAGAGAGAGTGAGCCTCAGGATTGCATTCTGCTCAGGAGAGAGTTTGGGGAAGCTGTGACCACAAGGTTGAGAACCTCCTCCAGGCGTGATGCCCACCTACTTAGTATCATTACACAGCTGGACACACTACTGACTTACCACTGATTTTACTGAACTGAGAAAGTGGATAATTATGTAGATCTGTTCACTTTCCTCCAAATAACTGGGCCAAGACAATCAGCTATAATCACATCTAAAGGCTCAAATAAACAGGCTGCATGAAGGCCAATGATACAGCAGAAACTCAAACATTTCATAAAATTTATACTAGCCAGAATATACTTAGTTTTATTGAGGGTTCATAGGCATCTCCATCTACTCCATCAACCACATCTGCAGCCACTCAGAGATCTGTGAAAGGGAAACTAGCCTCTTTCCACACAGGAAACATTGCCTGCCTAGGAGGATTTCCAGCTGGGATATGTCTTAAAACCTAAAAACCTAATGTTTTAAAGGACCACTTTCAAAGCCTTTTTCTAAGTCCCCATTCACCTTTCTAACAATACATGGCTGATTATTTCTTTCAACAACTACTAAAGTTTTGCTCATCATCTAATTCTATGGTGGAGTCATTAGCTCTTCCTTTGAAGCAGATGACTTCTCCCTAATGACCTGTTGAGTCCTAATACTAATTATATTGTGAGTAATTGAGTTGGATCATCTCTTATCCTGGCCAAAAAGCAACCTATGGGAAGTAACTGTGGAACTGGACTTTGCTTTATCCATTAGTGCCTAGCAGAACACTTTACATATAACAGATGCTGAATGATAGTCTATATTATACTAAATAGAAAATAAAATTCTTAACATGCAACTGTGAAAATTGCCAGAATATTTTTGAAATCAGAAGAATTGATTCTGCTTTTCTTGCACATACAACACAAATTATTTGTATTATTACTGGTATTAGTTACTTATCACACCTTATCACAATTGATTTTTTATTTCTATATCTTCAGAATATATGTGCAATTAAAAATCAAAATTTGTTTTAAATTTATTGAAGACTTTCATCTTTATGTATTTTATATCATTATTTCTTAATAATATCATACTCTTCACTTAGACATTGGTGTCTACAATATTTTTAATAGCTAGACATTTTAATATGATCACCACATTAACTCAAGACAAATCCTGGTTCATGTATTATCAGAAAAGATTACCACAAATCTGTACTAAATATATTCCTTTAAAATTTATTTTCAACATTACTATCTCACTGTATAAGGAGGGTTCCAACCCCCAATACTAGTTTATTTATTCTAAAGTTGGTACATTAATGCCCAGCCGTGCTAAGTCCTCTCTAAACAAATCCCTGTCTGTATATACATGATTCATACTCTTTCCTTCCTCCAGTGGTCCAAGAAACATGTTTATTCTATTTCTTCACATCTATATCTGGGAGTCTTACAGGCAAAAGTAAAAATAAATAATTGAGCTTAAATAACTCAGCCTAGCAAATCTGTCTTCCCTAACAAATCTCACTTACTAACCAGCATTCTTAAATGTTTGTTATTTAAAAGGCTTTAGCAAATTTTAATTTGCTTAAAAATCTTAACATTTTAAAAATATGAAATAGTCTTACTTTACCATAATACCTAACATCAAGTTAAAGCAAACCGCCCATAAGCAGTGGTGTGAGGGAGGCTGTGCATGCACATTAACATCCTCATCCCAACCACATCAGTGCTGTGTGCCAGACTTCCCACTCCCAGCACCTGTGTTTCTTTTCCTAAGGGCTTCTTCTAGCCACTTCAGAACAGGTCACCAGTGCCAGGCAATTGGCATCCCTCAGCAGAAGCCATCCACCAATGTAGAAGGAAGTTAGTAAATAAATACCCTACATCCCTTACCCCTGGGCTACAAAGGTTGGCACTATACTATGTGTGCTAAGTTAACTCCCACAGATTCCCCAGTGGGATTAAACCCCAAGAGCTCACAGCGGTAACTGGCCGGACAATGCACCTTTTTATTGGTTGCTTCCTTCCTGGTCTTTCTTCCCAATTGTCTTATTGATGTTTGCTTTACTTCCCAAATAAACTTTCTGGACTCCCATTTTTCTCCTAGTATATTTCTGAGAGAGCCCAAACAAGAACATTTGTAAGACGAGAAGTTCTGAAAACAACATGATTAATATAGGAGTCTGGAGTGGAACAATTCCTTAGCCAAATGACAAGCGCTCCATTACTGGTGATGAGCAAAGTGGCAACAATTCTAGGAGTACTGTGACACCGAACTACTGAGACTCATGTGAGATGAATCAGGACATGAAACCAGTGGAAGAGGACATACTAGGTATCTCTGGTATTTGAGAGATTTTGGAATAATGGTCATTAAAGCCTGTTTTACTTTTAGTTTTGTTTGTTATGTGACAATGCTTTGTTATTAAGCACAACTGAAGCTCTGAAGGAAGAATATAACAGACTGACTCAAGCTCCTACCAACCAGCTTGTTTGTTCACTGGCCTGTGGGCGTTCTCTATCTACTGAAGCCATTTGGTCCTTCTGTGCAGTAGGCTAAACCTACTGGGAGTTAATGACCTCCCAGAGCACATTCAACCCATGACTGACAGGAACTGATGTGTGAATATCCCAGTTCCCTCACCCCTTGAAAGAGATGACTCAGGCATGTGTTCTACACTGACACCAGAGTTTCCCCAGCACTAAGTTCCATTACCCCATATCAACTTAATAAAACAATTCCTAATGGCTGGCTTCGTTCCCTGTCTCAGGTCCACCGCTCACTTTACAGCCTACTTAAACTTACTCTTTCTTTCAAGGCCTGCTTCTGAAATGGTCTTATCCATCAATTAAAGAACTTCAGTACTGTAGCTAAAAAACCAGTCAAAGCTATGAGGAATATGCACAATCCAATCTGATATTGCTGAAACATTTACAAGATCTGGGACCTATAAGGCAAGAAAAAAATAGAAATTAATTCACAGCAGGTTCAGGGGTTAAAGAGATTAAATTCTGCCACTTGGTAAAGCAATTATGAAAAGGAAAATTAGATTTCTGTATAAACAGACTTTTAGAGACATTAGTGGGTCATGAGTATACTCCTTCAGAGGTAGAGACCTTGTTTAGTGACTACGTAGAGGTTTTATGCTACCCCTACTCCTTGATAGTGTTTCAGGACAATAAATACCCTCTGATACAAGCAAAATTTCCATTAAATATGCAACTTGTCCGTTTGAGTGCAGTACCCCAATTCCCTGGGTAGAAATTTTTCCCTTAAGAAAATTTGAAGAAGTGTGATGAAAAAATCAAATGCATAGTATTTTCTTTGACTGTTGGAAAACACATGCGTAATTGGCATAAGAGTACAATAATAAGGGAATAAAGGATCTGATTGAAGAATCTTGTGATTCCAATTATAAACATGCAAAATTTAAGTGACTTTTTAGACTTTTAATTTAAAAAGGAGTTATATGAGTTGGTGGGAAGAGGGAGGGAAAAGGGATGATAAAAGGAATTAAGATCTATTATGTCTGTGTACCAACTCCACACAAGGAATGTAAACATTTGTACTGCATATACGTACTAATAAAAAAGGGATTACATAAAAATAATGCAATTAAAAGTGTTATAACAACATTTAGAACAATTGATATTTATAGATTCTTCATGTTTAGAAATATAATTTAATAGAGTCTAACAATAAATGCTCCAGAAGGTCCTGTTTGTTCTGATAATTTAATTGCCTGGAAAAGGTCAAGTATTAAATTTATATCTGCTCCCTAAAATTAATTTTTAAATTATACTAGATACATAAACAGAGTAATTTGATTTATAAATTTAAATTTAAAACTTAAGGAAACACCAGAATTTGGAATTGTAACTTTAACAAATCATTCCTCTTTAAAAATCTGAATAAGGAGCTGGGGATTTAGCTCAGTGGTTTGGTGGCCTGCCTTGCAAGCGCAAGGACCCGAGTTCAATCCCTGGTACCAAAAAAAAAAAAATCTGAATAAGAATAAATAGTCCTGTCTATGAACAAGAGCTGCTCTCAAGGACAACCAGAACAGTCTCGACCTTAAAAGTGGGATACGGTGAGCCTATGTTTACAACCACTAGGATTTTACATCTTAAAAGGGAGCAATCTAACAGACCCCAATTACCCTGAATTACTAGCTATCAATGATTTGTGTTTTCTCTCTTCACCATCATGTCAGGGTTGCAACTAATCTATGTACTGTCTGATTCCTTGGGAGAATTACTTTCATGTTCTTCCAGTGAGGATCACAACAGATACTAAGACGACACTAAGTTGGATTCAAACATCTGGTCTACCGCTCTAACACAGCGCTAACTCTAACCCTAACCCTTCTCTCCATCTCACCATCCACAATTTAAAGTAGGCAAGGAACTTTGTATTTTTATTGTTTCTCCCCAACCCCACACACCCAAAAAATCAGAATAATATCACTGTTTTGTATGGTATACTAATTAACTAAATTTTCACAAGTATATGAGAAATACATATCAATTCCTTTAAATAAAACTGTTTTATATTCAAGACTTAAGGTAAGTGTGCGGATTTTCCATTCATTTTTGCTGTTTTACTTGAATTGCTCACCTAATTTTCCTATCTAATTAGATGGAATCTTTCTTTCCATACATACCATTGAAGGTAATAGGGCATTGCTCAGATAACTAAAACAAGGTGCTACAGTTGCTTATTTTTCTAGGTAGTACTGGAAAGTAATAATTGTGTTTGATTTACATTTATAGGCTTCTCAAAGAAAATAATTAAAATGCTTAAACATTTTTAAATGCCAGTTACTCTTCACAGCTTTAAATCAGTCCGAAATTGAAAGACTTAAATGTTCCACCTAATTCACTGCCAGTTTTTTACATGAAAGGGATGCAGAAATAGGTTGGGAATTCTTCATTTGTTCCACAGCAAACCTAAATCCAAATCCAAAGCCTGTAGCTACCCTCCCTCTTCCGAAATCTCAGGACTACTTAGAAATCCTGTGACAAATTTAGAAATTTCCTTTTTGTGCTTTCAATCCCCACATCTGGTCCTACTCCTTAATTCTGGGCAGATGAGCTCAACTACTTCTTCAAGAATATAAAGCCTTTTCCTTGTTGTTGTAAAGCTGCTCAGCTAGTGTATCTTATGCACTTGTTATGTGGTAACCACTTTGCTAAGAAAAAAATATGCCTGAGAAAAACGATGGAGGTCTGCCTTCAAGAAATTCCTAGTCAGGAAAGGAAGAGGACATGAGGAAAAAACAGTTAAAATATAATAAAGCAAATCGGAAAGAGATAAAATAGTAATTCGCAAGACAAGGAGAGCTTTTATAAAAATAAGAAGGAGTAAAAAATGTAGTTGTGTGGATTTTTCCCCAAATTCATTCTACTAACTATCTCCTAACTTATGATTATTTTCCTGTCTGGTGTCTAACTCCTGCCTAATCTAGTTTAGGTAAATATAAGAGAAACATGTGGCTCATTGATTATAAGAAGGAAAAAAAATCCAATTATCTGTAGTATGTAATTTCAATCCTGAAGTACTATTTCAAAATTATTGTTATTGATTTTTTTAAAAGAAAAACTTTAATTTTCTCTTTCTCATGAGTGTGGTTAGAGAGGATGAATAGATAAATATACAAATAAATTTAAAAGAAAAATCTAAGGCAAGTATATATTTTAAAGTATTAGCTGATTTACTTTCCTTCTAGCATCCTGCACTTCCTGCCATCCCACTGTCCTTTCCTCCTTTTTAAGACTTCTTCTATAAGAAAAACAAAGTCCAAAAAAACCTAGCTTTTTTTTTTTTTTTTTGGTACTGGGGATTGAACTCGGGTCCTTGCGCTTGCAAGGCAGGCCACCGAGCTGCTGAGCTAAATCCCTGGCCCAAAAACCTAGTATTTTAAGTTAAATATGGATATATTTAAAACTACCACAAAGCTCAGCACCCTAAATCAACACTCACATTACAATCTCTCCCGTTCTATGGGTTGACTTGAGGCAGCTGCTTAGCGGCTCAGGCACCCGCTGCTGGGACACCGCTGGGTTAGAACATCAGAGGTGGCCATGTATATTTCTGGTGCTTTGGCAGAGAGAGCTGGAAGTCCAAGTTCGGGTTCAGCTGGGACACGGACATTTCAAGAATCTCTCTTCCCCTCCCCTGCCCCTCCCTCTCCTTTTTCCCCCTCTCTTCTCCTCTTCCTTCTTTCCCTCTCTCTCTCTCCCTCTCTTCCTCTCTCTCTTTTTCTCTCCCATCAGAAATATTTACTGACCCCTTCTTCATACCAGATACTAATCTAGGTGTCGGCTGTACAGTGGTAGCCAAGATAGAAAATCTGTTTTTATGAGCCTACCATTTAGCAAGGGGAAAATCAATTTTAAAAGTGAAAAGTACTCTGAAGAAAATTTAACAGATGGTGAAAAAACGATAAAGCAGCATTTACTGAGTGCTTTTGAACGAATGAACATTTACTCTCTCAGCAACACCACACTGTAATCAAACAAAATAAAAATAAGAAAAAGATTTAGTGTTAACAGTTTGCTTGAATTAACACATTGACATAATATAATGTAATTCAAAATGAAATGTGCATTGACATACAAATTTATATTACTCAAGGACCAGAGAATAAAATATGATTGATTTTATTTGTCACTAATAAACTTTATCACAGATGTTGATTGACTCTGTCGCAGCATAACATTACTCAGAAAATTATAGGAGTAATTTTTTACATTGTTATTGTTTGTATAATTTTGTCGTACAGCAAAGGAATATTATAGGCATAATCAATTCTAGTCAAAGAAAAACATTTTAAATCATTTTAAATTCAAAATAATCTAATAAATTATAATAACCCTTAAGACCTCAGTGCATGAGTCAGTTCATTGTTGAATTATTTACCATACAATTTGAGCACAAAATAAACAGGCATTTTAAAAATTAGTAAGTCAATGGCTTCAGTTCACCAATGACCATTTTTGGTAGCAAGGATATATTTGTGAACAAAAAACAGTTACAAATTGATAATCATAACCTTTAACTAGGGTTCAAAAACTCAAAATTGTATTCTGTCTTTGCTGATAACACAGATCATAACTTCATGCAATAAAACTTCACTTGTCAGCCCTTTCTTTCTAGTTCACCAGAAGTCCCACCTTTACCACTACTTTGTGACAGCAAGCAAGTCCTTTGAAGAGTAAAGAGATCATAACAGCTTGCTCAACTCACAGAATGTCAGGGGAATCAAACTGTTCAATAGATGGATAAATGCATTTGAAAGATATATGAGTGTGTGTTTGTGTTGATGCAAGATATGATCTTATTTTCATAATTATATGTGTAAGAGCTTGAAAATTTGATTTAGGAATTGATTTTAAAAACATTTGAAACTAAATGTAATACTAAACCAGAGTCCCACAAAAAGTGAGTAGAAATTTTAAAAATCAACTGCTGTTAGATCATTTCAAGCTTTCTTTCTCTACATTACGAGAGAAAGTTCTATGAAATTATGACATGGCCTGGATTGTATGATACCTGCCAATTTCATAGAGAGAAGAATAAAAAAATATTGTTTTAGAGTCAATGAACATAATAATTACTTTCCAGTTATAAAAATAATCCATATGTTGAAACCCTTGAAAATACTGTGCCTTAGCAGAATCATGGATGCAAGCAACAGAAAAGCTAGGTTAAATAAGAGTCTGCATAATTGAAAATCTAGAGGAACAGCAGAGGTGAGGAGTAATCTAACTCAGGGTTCAACAACTACCACAGGAGCAGTTTCTTTCCATCTCTGTGCTCTGCCTTCCTTGGCACCAGCCTCCCTGAGACAAGCTCTATTCATGATATCAGTTCCAGTTGTCCTACCTGCACCCACACTATAGCACAGTTGCTCCCCTGCTTTCATTCCAAGCAAGCCCAAAGTGGTCCCATAATGCAGCCATATATTGCTAAATTACCTCAGTTCCTTTGGTATAACCTGCCTACTATCTTTTATAAATGTCTTCACTAAACATATATGTTGACACAAAGGTTATGACAATGCATATATTTTCAAATTCATGGTGTTGATGTGTTGACATAATGTTACTCAAACTGCTTCAAATATGTTATAAAGAAAACTTGTGTAAAGATCCTCTATAGTCTAAATGTAATACCTTATGTTGAAAAGTATTAAAGTGGCTTTCTTTTCCCCTTAAAAAAAATTCACCTGCCCAATCAAGGTCAGCTAAGTCATCTCATCTCAGCTGAATTGTAACTACTGGTAAAAAAAAAAAAAAAAGTAAAAAAAAAAAAAAAAAAAAAAAAAGAAAGAAAGAAAAATGTATGTAAAAAGTATACAGATGACATGAGGAAGGTAGTAACATCCAATTAAAAAAATATCTATGACGAGAATAAAAACAAAGAGAAAAGGAATACTTGAAAGCTGTGGAGGTTAATTTCCCATGTCAACTTGGCTGGACTATGGCACCCAGTTGTATGTTCAAGTGTTGGCCTAAATGCAATTAAGAGAATATAAACATTATGTACTGCAAACATGTACTAATAAAAAATACATTCTTTCTGGGCTGGGGATTCAGCTCAGTGATGCTGCTGCCTGCCTCACAAGCACAAGGCCCCAAGTTCAATCCCTGGTACCTCCTCCAAAAATACATTCTTTCCTTACTGATGTAAAAAAACTGAAATGTATAAAAAAGAGAATCCTAACCTCCTGTAATCATGAACATTGACATTTTAAAAGTTTCTTCTGTTTTATTAATCTACTTAAGATTAATACACAAAAACATAAAGGAACTTACTGTATTCAAATGGTATCATAGTGGGTCTACAATATTCAAAACCTTGGAATGTTATTTTGTCCTTTAATATATTAAAGTGATCATTTTTCCATGCCCTTAAGTGTTTTAAATATGATTTTTAGTAGTTGTCAAATAATCCATCACACAATTACAATCCATTTAACTATTTGACTATTTCTGAGGATTTCAATAATTTCTTTTTTTTTTTAAGTACACAGTGCTCTCTCCTGCCTTGAAAAGCCAACTAGGAACTAAATTTGACGTTTCTGAAGATCAGGATCAAAAGTGTTGCACTTGGTTCGACTTCATGCAAGCTATAGTTCATTATGAATAAAGAGTGAGTTGCCAAGTCAACCCTTAACTGGAGCCAGTCTGATCTGGCATCAAAAAATACGAAGATCCATACCTGTCAAAAGGTGTTTGGGGCAGCAATGTGGGTCTTGGATCCCTGCTTCTCCATCATCACCACTGTTAGAATAATGCTTTTGTTTTCACGTAACATAGCAATGTTTGTGACTTTTGAATCTTGTTTTTGAGTCTTTAAGCTTATAAATGCTCAGAAGAAAGAAAATCAGCAAGGAAAATGAAAGGAGAAGAGTTATGAATGGACCTGCAGGAACATATTTCACATTCCATATTTACTCACTTGCACTCACAATTACGAGGTAAAACAGTGCGCAGTCACGAGCGGTGAACAGAATGGATGTTCTTGGAGAACAAAGAAACACATGGTAGCGTGGCCAACCATGTTAGCGTTTCCCCAAAGCACAGTGGCCTTAGGAGCTTCCATGCCCGACTCTCCCTCCCCTGCAGGTTTTATTCTCCATCCATTTTCCTCTTTTGCAGTAGCTCTGATCCAAACCCCCAGGGCCAGCACTTTGCAGCAGCTGGATTTCTCTGGGACAGTTAAGTGGCATTTTTCCTAATTGCTCCTCTCAGATTTAGATAGGAGGGGGATCATTTTGTGAAATGGTGATAATAAGGACAAGGATCAATTTGTGGTTGAGCTTAAATGTTATTTAGCAATGCTTTGAAATGTAGTATATGATTAGCGTTTCACTGGTAGAGATCACAATTTTTTTTAAGAAACTGATTTCAAGGTCTCATTCTATTATTTTCACACATTTTACTTTTCTTTTTACTTTATTTGTTTGGCATACTCTAAAGTACTTACTTATGGAATTGGGGTGTTTTTAGGGGGTTAATTTTAAACTTTCTACCTAAATATTATTTAGAGATTCACTGAAGTTGCATTTGAGGTCTTTGGCATGTCTGTTAGTTAAAAGAATTCTGAAAAGATCTTCTTTCTACATATACAAACAAAACTTCTTGGATATATTAAAGTTCTTTTTGTTCGTTTGTATTTTGAGACAGGGTCTCCCTATGTACCTGAGGCTGGCCTTAAAATTGCAGCAATCCTCCTGTCTCAGACTCTGGAATGCTGGGATTACAGGCATGCACCACCATGCCCAGCCTGAAATTTACTATTTTGCATTAAACATATAACACTTATTTTCTTTAATAATGGAGTTACTAGATTGCAGAGAAATAATACAATACAATAAAGGAAATTTGGATTGAAAAAGCATAGAAAAATAATTCAAATCAATAAATGTTTTGTTAAATAGGAAGAAAAGGGCTAAAGGAGTAGCAGAAGAGGGAAGGGTAGGGAAAAGGAAATAGGGGAGAAGAAAAAAATAGGAAAAAAATGGAAACAAAGTTCTTGCAAATAGGGAAGAGTGGAGGGGGTGAAAGAAGGGCAGGGGAATGGGGAAAAAATTCAAAATCTACTCCTTTGGTACAATTACTTTTCTAAAATAACTCAGAAAATTCAGGGAAACAGTTTACTCATGTTTCACAGATCACTGCAAAGGATGCCAACAAAGGGTGCAGATGGATGAGGAAGGGATTCAGTGCCTCCACACCCTCCCTGGTTGAGCCATCCACCTAGCTCTTCATAGCTCAGGGATTTGTTTTGCAGAAGTTTCATCACATAGCCATAATTGATTATGAATTCAATCTCGAGCCTCTCTCCCAATCTGAAGAATAAGGACAGAGCTAAAAATTGCTGGCATCTAATCACGGCTTGGTTTTTTGGATGATCAGCCCCTATCCAGGAACAACACACCAAGAGGCACCTCATTAGAACAAAAGATGCTCCTGTCACCCTGAGAATTCCAAAGAAATTGGAGCTCCATGTCAAGAGCCAGACTCAAAGACTAAATATGAGAACAGAAGATATATCTAGGACCCCTTCACTTAGGAAATTAAGAGGTGTTAGGAACTCCGTGCCAGGATTTGAGGGATTTGAGGAAATGGCACGCATGAGGACCACCATCATAGCTTAGCAAAAGCATGCTGTGACAGATCGCTCAGTAAATGCTATGGTGAGTGGAAGGTTCAAGTGGACTTCATGACATGTGTTTATAATACTTGTGGTTCCAGAAGAGAGAACGTGGATTTTCAGAATCAAAGACATTCTCTAGTAAAAACAGTTTCTATAGTAAAAGAAAACAAGAGAGTGGCTGGGTTAAAGAACAAGGTTTAGGTGGAAAAAGACAGATACAGGTATATGGGTGGGGGAGGGCTACCTTATAACAAACATTCGTCTAGAGAACACGTGGAGAATGACGAACAGTAAACATGGAAACTCAACACAGAACAGACAAGATGCTTTTAGGGAGGTCAAGTAGAGCACCAACCTAGTGTAGGTGTCCAACTGAAATCCTAGGATTGTTTGTTTAGTAATGATCCATTACCATTATGCAAGAAGATAATTCTTAATCACTTTCTTTTTGCTATAAGTAATTATAAAAGTTAAAATGTTATATATCGTTAGGGGAAGGAATTTTTTTTAAAGTCAGCTGTTGTAGAAAGGGCCATAGGTGGAGAAATAAGAGCTACTATCAAATCAGTATCTCTAAACTCTCCCAATCTTCACGTTTTTGTTTCAGCCACCCTCTAGACATTGTTCTGGAATCCCCTGGGCATCTCTGATTTGACATTTCCTAAACCAAACTCTGTGTGTCTTGCCGATATCTCCTTTCATTCTCTAGTTCTACCATCCTCTCAGACTAGAAAGTATTTCTCCCCACCCTGTCTCCCTTGCTCTCTGCCTGTCTCTCCCTGTTTCCCTTTCTCTCCATCTCTCTCTCTGTCTACCTGCCTCCATTTCTCTCTGGCTCTCTGTCTGGTCACTTCCCCAACACACACACGCTTTAGTAATGTCTCCTCTCCATCACTATCCCTACTGTTTGAGGAATCAAAGTTCTCTTCTAAATTTCATCTATAAATTGATGACAGTTGTTAGCTAATATTTAACTCCTAAGAGCCTACACATGGTTGGAAGGTGGAAATATTTTTAATACTTACTTAATGAATAGATGCTAGAGTCATCACAAGTCATCTTTGTGCGCTGTCATGTTATGCCACATTGACTATTCATCTTAATAAATGCCATCAGATCTTGGTAATGAACTCTTTCATCTCAGTCTTAACATGGCATTACTGATATATGTATACGTGGTTCACTGCAGCATATCCCTGGAGATTATGGTTTACACTTAAAGCAGTATTGATGCTTGGCAACGACTGTGAGGTAAAAATTGGATAACATGAAAAGGATTTAAGCAAACAGTTTACAACACTAATTGATAAACTTTTTATCCTTTTTGTGTTAGATATTTGTGAAATGTGCAATTGAAGCTCTCAGAATATTAGCTTTCAGAAAATGATCATGGTATATAAAGATAATTTATTTGAGAAAACTTTTATAAAGAGGTAAACATCTTAAAAGTGAAGTAGATGTCCCTGATGGGTGTGGGAAGACACAGAATAAGTCTGTTGAGATCACAAACACTGCCCAGCAACATTATTATCTTACATTTCCATAGAATTTTAGTTTACTGGGGCCGGGGATTTAGCTCAGCAGTTCAGCAGCTTGCCTTGCAAGCGCAAAGACCTGAATTCAATCCCCGGTACAAAAAAAGAATTTTAGTTTACAGCTTTTATCAGTGCTTTCTCTTCTACACAGGTGAAGTGTTGGGAGAGTTACATAGCAAGTTTAGTTGACATAGTCTCAGCCCTTCGGGAAAAACCTAATGTCGAAAATCACAATTTTATTTTCCTTATATTGTTACCTGCAATTTTTCTTCTTGAGAACTGATTTTTTTTTTTTTTTTTACTCACAAAGCTATTTCAACATTTCCATGAACACAGCAAGAAAACTCTTCATCAAAGATATAATTCAGACAACCATGGGGAAAATATGGGACATTTGATCACAAGATCTCAAAGATCCTTCACACACATGAATTTACACCTCAAATAGAGAGTGACCATCGATATCATCAAAATTGGAACATTTTCTTGTGCTGTATCCTTACATAATGGTGGGTGTTCACCAGGGAATAATCAAGCTGGAAAAAATTTCGCCCCAGTACTGGTAATTGAACTGAGGGACTCCACACTGGGCTACATCCCCAACCCTTTTTTATTTTGGAGACAGGATCTTGCTAAGTCCTATAGCTGCCCAGGCTGGACTCAAACCAGAAGCAGTAGCCAGGCACTTCTGGCTGCTGTGACACAGAAGAGCCAGGATTAACTGATCTTGGCTAAGTCACACAATGATCCTCACAGGCAGAAAGAATTTTTCACAATTTTAAAGTAATACTATAAGGTAAAAACACTCTCAATGCCTCCCAAAGACTCCACATGTACCTGGGTACTGTCTTTGAACTGGTAATCTGTGCTCACTCCATATTAGACTATTTTCTGTCTAAACCATTTATACCAAAGATTGCAATTTTTTGAATTTTTGCAAGAAATTCATATATGTTACTTAGAAAAATTCAAGTAACAAGAATTTGAAGAGAAAAAAAAAGTATCATGTTCCATTGTCATGGGAATTCCAAAAAGGAAACATTAGGTATTTAAGGGTTTTGTCCAGAACCCTCCTACATCGAATAGAAGCATGAAAGACATTACTCATGTTTGCCAAGCTTTCTACTTTCTCATTCCTATGATTCTTTTGACTGATGAAATGTGAGAGGTGACTTATGTCATGTGTGGGGCAATGCATCAGGCTTTTATGTGTGTCTTTTTTCCAAACTCTTCCCCACTTCCTATATTCTCCACCACAGTACTCACGGAAACATTACAGGAATAAAGCAGGCTGCAAGGATGAGTCACCATGATGGCTCTCCGGGAGATCCTGCATGAGCAAGAAATTAACTTAGTGGCACTAACCAACCGAGATTTCAATACTGGTTGTTACAGCAGCATGATCTAGTCTTTCCTGCTTCACACAGCCTCACTAGCTCAGCTCCCACCATGCAGTAGCCCACAGCTACATATGTGGCTCTTACATCAGTGTCATTTTCATACATAAGTTGACTGGTCATTATTTAAGGCAAAAACTCAGAGTCTGGGAATCCCAAGAAGATAGTTGGAATAAAACATAGTGTGTGTCCCATATCCTTGCCAGGTACCTGGATTATCACAGAGAGCTTCTCCATGCAGACTGTCATACTGTTTTATCACCCAGGAGGTATC